ACAGGTTTATGGCCGCTAATACAATGAAATAATAATACAAACTACACAATTACTCCGTACCAACAATTATTGTAAAGAATTTCCTTGAACGGGGTCTCTTAAATATAGATTAGTAATGAGTTAAAACCCTAGCAAACAAAATTTAGTAATTACTCAATTAATTTCATGGTTTCATAAAGTAATAATATGATGCACTCATCAAATGATGGAAAAATTTGGAAAACATCCATATTCACCCCAATAAGCTTAATATAACTCAATATTCATCCTCATAGTCAATTACAATTATGATATACGGCAGGTTTCACATAGGAAAACGAAAGAAAACAAAAGCAAACCCTAAATCAGTGATCGAAAACGATGTCATTTGGGCGGGGTAGAATTAGTTAATGTCTGTATCATCGAAATCGTCCTCAAATTTATTGAAGAAGTCGGCGTCGACGAGCTTATTTTCCATGGAGATGACGCCCTCGCCGAAGATCTCGAGTGGATCGACGTCGTCCACGTCCATCGCCACCGTCGATCCTTGCTCATCCATGTCTCCGAAGAACTCCATCTGCATCGGCCTCATTGTTTCTTCACGAGAGTATCTGTTTCTCTTCACAGAAGAGGCGGAGGGGAAAGGAGAAATTAGGAGAATGAATGAAAATCAATAACGACACCGTATTTATCTATCTCACGGCTTTTATATACTTGAAAGTGTGGGTCCCACTAATTTCTAGAAATATAAACGACCAACCGTTTGTTACCGTTATTACGGAATAAAAGATTTTTTTATCTTGAATTTCTGGAAAAGACTAAAACTAAAATACGACTACCAACCCTCAATCCCTTAAATATAAATTATAGTATGAATTTGACTTTACATACATAGGGAATAAAATTTTATTTTTTATCTTAATTTTAATTAATAAATTATAAGTTTTTATATATTTTATTTATTAATTCCCTCTCTTGCCTTTTTCTTAAAATAAAGAATATCTTCATTAAATATAAAAAGCAAATTAGTGTTAAATAAAAATTTTGTTCTTTATATTTATAAATTAATGAAGATATTCTTTATTTATATAAAAGGTACTCTTTAAAAGAGTACCATTAGAAATGCTCTAAATTGTAAGGAACCAAATTAGAGGTCTCAAAAAAAAAAAAACAATCTAATGTGTATATCTCAAATTTATAGATTAAAGTAGAAATTTATTCTACCTAATATAGTAATATTTATATAATACTCTACTTTGAGATAAAATAAGATGATGAATATTTTCAAAAAATTTATTAAGGAATTAATGACTTTTTCTCACCCAAATAATGGTTTAATGGCACTTTTCTACTCACAAATTTTTAAAATACTAGTTTACAATCTAAATTTATATTTTGGTGACGAACAAAGAGTAAATTCAGTCATAAACTATTAGGACTTTTGAAGAGATAGGATCGATGAGTCTTTTGGTGATGAAATATTATATTTTGGTTTTTAGGATTGATCAGAATTTAATTTGGAAGGAGCGGTTGTGCAATCCTTAATCATTCGATTGTCGATGATTAATAAAGTTAACAAGAGTAGGTTTGAGAGGTTTTAATAAGTAATAATCGGATAAAAAAATAATAATAGTGTGAGGTTATAATTATATAAAAAATATATATATATAAATTTAAATAATAAAATAATATTTTAAAAATTGCGGGAAAAAAAGTGTTATTAATGCATTATTGAGATTGGAAAAAGCCGTATACTCTTTATTAAAACCAATAAGTTAATAGTCTCCTTTTTAATGCTGATACAGTACAAAGCAAAGAACTGCTGAGTGGAGAAAGGAAAACTATAGAGAGAGTAAACTAAAGTAAACGATGTCGTTTAGGAGAAGAGAAGCGTGATT